ACAGCTTTCATGCGTCATGGCATGCTCTCCACCAGTCTTTCACATTGCTGTTGGGTGACTTTATGCCACTCCTGGCACAAAAATTCAAGCAGCTCAGATTTGTTTGATGGCTTGTGACCATCCATCTTCCTCTTGACGTTTTCAAAGAGGTTCAGGTCTGGAGATTGGGCTGACCATGACCATGGTCTTGATCTGGTGGTCCTTCATCCACACCTTGATTGACTTGGCTGTGTGATATAGTTCAAGTTAATATTTTATGGTAAAGGGATTCTGCTGACAAGAAAAAAAAAATTGGGAATGCATGGTATAAAGAATTTATTTAAAAAAAATGCTTCATTCCAAAAGAGTGTATTCCTCCATTGCATATAATTTTCAATAATTTATTTGTAATTTATATACAAACAAAAAGCTTTAAGAGTGTGATGGTTGAAGTTTAAACTAAATGTCTAAATTCAACAGCAGATGTCACTCTCTGCTCTCTTACATTAACCCATTGTGGCTTAGTTAGGAGCGTCAGTGACATACACTGTTTGTTTCATTAGAACATCCTCTCCTCCACCTTCCCACCCTGAAGGAAGGAAGCAAAAGCCTCATTTTAAAACATAAGACATAAAATCAAAAAATAAATAGTAATAATAAATAAATAAATTGTGGGATTAGACAAGTGCAAAATATATTATAAAACCGGTTTTAGCCATTCTTATTCTGAAGAAAATGTGGATAATGCACTGGTCGGTGAACTAAACACCACTCATTTAACACCCTCTTTTTTCAGTTCTGTTTATGCTACAGAAGTCTGTTATGTTTGTATATGGTTGGCATGTTAATGAATAAAAGTTGAGTCCATTTTTTTTATTCCCTTAAGCAGAATCTGCTATCCGTATAAATATTCCATATTGCATAAGACAAAATAATACTTTTTTACACCAATCTTTCTGACAGTTTACATCCTCTTGGTTCCTAATATAGTGTGTGGCCTTCTTGAGCATCAGCAATGTGTAAAAAGTTTATAAAGATAGAGTAGTACCAGGGGTATTTTTGTCGCACCTCCATCAGGCTCACAGCCCCCTCCCAGTCTCTGCTCCCTCTCCCTTGATTTCTAACCACATATACACCTTTCAGCTATTACCCAGACAATTGTGGATTCCTTAAATACCACATTGCCTAGTCTACAACCAGGACTATTTAAAGTAGTCTATTTTAGACTGTCTACTTTCTGCAGTGTTCTAGCTTCATGGTCCTTCTTCAATTTCACAGGCCCAAGACCTTCCTCTTGTTTAATATACTTTACCATTGTGTTGACACTCATCGATCTCTGTTTATTGTTTTTATGATAACTCCAGTCATTCATCTTTTGCCTGCCATCCATGGCTGTGTTTCTGCTGTGCATTCATCCACCACTACTCACATGCTCTGCTGCTTTGTCTTTTCAAATAAAGATCCCAGCACTTATTTATACACATATTTTCTGTGTTGCTTCCTGAAAGAAGACTAGACACAACCATGTACCCAGTGGGATCTGATCTTCAGTGCGCTGCCAAGACTATCTAGACTCTGATCTAGTAGCTCCGCCTTCTTCTTCCAGCTTCACAACCCATGCTAATCAGCTTCCATACCAAATGCAGAAGAGTTTAGTTCTTCTTGTTATACAATAGATGAATGGATAATCATCTTTACCTGTATTGTGGAGCATTGATGCCTGATCTACTCCTCTCGAATGGTGGTGAGCTCTCTTTCTTGTAAAACTGTTATTCACTCATCACTAAGTATGAAAGTTATTATATTGTATGCCGGCGCTTCCATTACAGTAGACTGTGTTCCAGTTTGCTGGAAAAAAAGGCCATGGAGGAATATATTTACAAGGCATTCCAGCAGGGTTACATCCATTTGTTCTCTTGCCCTTTTAGCCTCAAGCTTTCATTTCGTAGCCAAGAAAGATTATGTATTGAGACCATACATTCAATATCTCTCCCTCAACAGCAGCATCATTAAATGTGTTATTATCTGCCCTTGGTTCCTGTCGCCTTAAGATCCTGAGGGCCTACAATTTCATTCATATTTGCATGGAAGACCTTGAGTACCTCCACAGATTTCTCATCAATAAATGCAATTTTCTCATCGACTCCTTGAATTTAACTGAGCACATTCACCATACACAGATTGCATTTGGACTGCTAATAAAATATTTCTCTGGAGATCTTGTTCTGTCCCTGTTCATGGTAAATGCACGTATCTGTGTCACTTTCCCACGCCTGTCTTTGTTTGGAGGTCGGGTGGGTGACAGGAAGTGCCTGTTTCAATGGTGATGCTCAACCTGGGGATCTAAGTCCATTGGTAAAAGTTACCAATGTCAAGAACACCTCTTTCCTGAACATTACCACACAGCACACACAATGGGCTCCATCACTTTATCTTTTTGATTACAGACTGTCTGGAAATCTACTTCAAATACTGCACATTTTGCATATCCAGTCTCTACTAATGAGCTGATGACCTAAATTAGGTTGATTAATGAAAAACAAAATGTGTTGTGGGGCTTCAAGAATCACTATTGAGAACCACTGTGTTAGATGACTTGTACAAATTCTACACAACAGCACTATTTATTGTAGCAACAAGCTATGACCACTGTAAACACAAGAACAAATCAATCAAGGATGATTTTTTTTCTGCAAAATCTGAGAAATGTGTGTGTGTACGTTTTTGTGACATATGAGGACACAAATTTGTATAATGACATGGGTATGACATAGGACACCCGTGTGTGTGTGCGCGCGCGTGTGTGTGTGTGTGTGTGTGTGTGTGTGTGTGTGTGTTTGATTAATACTAGAATTTCAGACAATTTTAACCAAAATTAACTTCTCTAGGATGGTTTTACCTTAAAAGTAAAAAAATAATAAGAAGAATCTTACATTGAATGTCAACAGGGACAAACACCCGAAGAGTAAGTGTGTGAAATGTTTATACATTTGTGTGAATATGTGTGTAGTTGTCACTCACCATCCTGCAGCTGCAGCTGTCTGAGGTACAGTGGGTTTTGCAGGACGTTACATTGTCCCAGTTTATCCTCTCTGGTCACCAACATCAGATCTGAGTATATAAAGATTGTTACCTAGTGAGAGAGCATAAGAGAGAGAGAATTCAGCAAAAATGGATCAAATGCAGATGTTTTAAAAGAACATTGGAAGTCATATGATGTACAATAAATGTGATGTGACAGCCGGTGCACAAGAACCACTGCTGTAGAGTACGAGTAGAGATTAAAGGGAAAACAAGTCTCAAAAAATGGAAATAACACAGTAAAAATTTACTTTTTCATTTAGTTCTCATATGACTGCACCCATCATATTGTATATGAAAACCCATAACAGCACCTTTCTACTGAGCTTAATTGTGTGGTTATGTTACTTACATTAAAATTATCCTGATACACTTTTTTCCCATTTTCCTCTCTGCTAATTAATTTACCTTCATAATTCACCTAAAGACTGCTGAAGATAATAAACTAATATTTTTTTGTATAAATGTTAGGCTATTTCTACATTTAACCTAAATACCACTTCATGTTTATTAAAAGAAAGAAAGAAAGAAAGAAAGAAAGCTTTGTGAAATTGCACTGCTCTTGCAGTTCACGTATTAGATTGACATATATAAACAAAATGTACTTGTTCATCCGTCCATTTATCAGTCCTACACCAACTGAACAACCCTGCATTCCATTCGGAAGGGCTCATCCCTATGCCGAATGACCCTTCAACATGGCGGCCATGATTGTTTTCACTCCGAAGTGCCCTTCGGAGGGCGATATATCCCGTTTAGAACACACCGCCTGTCTGTCACGATCACCAGCTGGAGTGCCCCTGATAACCACCAGAGGGAACTACATCCCATACCTCTGTCACTCAGTCTTGGACTTCATTTCCCATAACCCATTGCCTGGACTCATCATGCCTGATTGTTTTCACCTGTTCCTCATTACCTCTGCCTATATAATCCTGGTGTTTTCAGTCAGATTTTACGAAGTCTTACATGTGTCACAACTGCAGTGCTAAGCCTTTTATCCTGGTTCGCTCGTGGCAGGTTTTCCTGGTTCTTGATATTCTGCTTGCTTATCTGGATTACTCAGCCCTGGGGTAGTGATGGTGAAGTGAAGCGTTCTGAACCAGTGAGGCTTTCAACACAATTATATCGGAAAAAGGTTCATTACTTGAAGCTTTTTAAAACGGTTTATGCTGTGGCTAGTGATGAGAGAAACAAAGCTTTTCGAAGCATTGAATCAATTGAATCAATTGCTTCGAAAAATTATTTGATGTTTCGAGGCACTTGAAACAGCACATGCTGGCGACACCTGCTGGTGAAAACGTTGTAAAAGCATCAAGAACTCAGACCAAACTTACAAAACAAATGGAAATGTTTTTTTTAGAAATACCTTTTTTTTTATTTTTATTAAATAAACACTTAAATGCTATTAAATATTAGTGCTTGCATTATGTATTTTATTTAAGTATAATCAAACCCTTGACACACAATGAACTAAATTAATTATTTAATGAATTAATTGATTTATGTAATTTTTTAATTAAGTGTTTTCATTAGAGCTGTCTATAAAAACCAGCAGGCAAGAGTAGTGATAGTCAGGAGAAGGAGGTGGATTTAATTCTATCGTAAGCTCATTTTGTTATTTTTAAGGTATGATGTGATTTGTAGGTTGAAAGTACTGAATGTTTTTACACATGTTTTTAAAACTATATAGCCATCTGTGTTAAAGGGAAGTTATCTTTTGTTTAACCCACAACATCTGGCCCTGAATTCTTTATTTTTTATAGTACAATTTTGTGGGTTTTCATGTCACATGATTAACTGGGCAACCAGAAGTGGTTCATGGGTTCACTTTGAGATCAACACCCCCTAGTGGTGAACCATCGGCGTTTCGAAACAATGTGACATAACGAAGCTTCGTTTGCTAAAATCACGTGACCTGGCCGGTTTGATACGCGCTCCAAAACACTGATTCGAAACAAAAGATTCACAAATGTTTCGAAGCTTCGTGAAGCGGTGTTTCGGACGCGCCCATCGCTAGCTGTGGCCATCTAGTGTTCATAAAAATAAATAAGACCTTCCAAAGTGTTATGTTCCATTACAGCCAGTGGTTTCACATCTGGTTCTACAACTGATTCTTTGTTTTATTATATTTTATATGAATAATGGTCATTGTCAAAGTCATTCCTTTGTGTCGGTGTACTGGCACTAAAAATAAGAAAAATAAATAAATAAATTCATAAATTAAATCTATGATCTGTTTTTTTTAACTCTGGCCATGAAATAACAGTCTAAGGATTGAGGCAAAGTTCATTTTTGAGCTCAATATATAAATTACGATTAAAAAATAAATTTAAAAAACAATGTTAACACATTATAATGTAATATAATGTAAAGGAAACGGTGCTGAGGTTTGCTTCGTTTGAAACAGATACTGAAGCAGTCACGTGGTTTTCAGGTGAATGAAGCTTCAGACGTCATAGATCACGTGCTTTTCTCAAAACGATTTAAGCTCCGATACAGTGCTTCAATGTGAAATGTGTTGGTTTTTTTTATACAAGCTTCGAAGCTTTGGTGTTGAACGTAACATCACTACCCTGGGGCCCGTTCTTCGTACGTCGCTAACTCAGTTAGCTGGATTTGATTGTTGATGATTTGGCATGATCTTGGATTGATTGGTTCTTCGGAAGCACATCCCGGAGTTGCTGTCATAGCAACAGCTCCGTAAGCTTAAACCTGCTCAAGAGCAGGCTTATTTCATGTAAACAGGATTAGGTTGCATCTTTGTAAGCAGAACTGATACTTAGAATCTGTCCCAACCACTGCTACTTTATTAGAAGTGTACCCTACTGATCCAGGGACAGTAATTTACAATAATAATAATTAAAAAATTAATCCAAAAAAATATTATAATGTTGTGTAGTCATCATCTATAACACTATAGACAGCCAGGTTTACTCATTGAAAAATTTATTTGTGATGAAATAATTACATTATAATTGTATTGGAGTCTTACACACATGCTATACAGTTAATCTGAGCCGTGCATTCATTTGAGTGGTGACAGCTATTATGGGAGTGGCTTGATGGAGCGCAGGAGATGCAGATAAAGATTGTCAAGTTTTTTCGTCAGGTGTCTTTTTTTAATTAAATGATGTCATTACATTACATTACAATCGCTGCATTGCTGATCTTGGTTTCGAGTATCGATACATCTGCCTTTTATGGGAAACACGAGAACGCGCAGTAATCTTAGACAACTTAATCCAGATATTTTAATCAAATCCGCAAATTCGTTTGAAGAACCAAATTAGCCAGAGATCAGTTATCATGATTACTAGATCTGGAATCTTTCAAATCATCTCAGATGTATTAAGCATTGTACAAAGAACGGACCCCTGAACTCTGCCATTGTTTTGGATTGCTTGTTGTGTTTGACCCCATGCCTGTTTTGACTACGATTGTGGATTACCCTTTAATAGACTACTGCACTCGAATCCTCAGCCTTCATGTTTCCATGCAGTTTTGTGAAACAAACCTGCTCGTTGCTCCACGTTTGCCCTCTGCTCATTTTGTTTTGGTCACATAGCCATGGCCGGACTTACCATTGGGCTTGAGTGGGCTCGAGCCCATGGGCCCGCCCACTCGCTTCCGTTCATTTGATTTGTTTATTTTTCAATTAAGGTTCGTTGATTGGTCTGGCATTGTTAACAACCCTGCCATGCTTAAGGAATGACATCATTTAATTAGTTAAACTATATGTCAGTTATTTTGATGTTTGCTGATTGGTTATTGGTGATAACGATGTTTCGGGTTTACACTGTTGTAACCTGGCCACATTAATCAGTATAATGGCAGACAAGCGGTATCGGAGTGGCGTGCTTAAAAGAAAACTAAAAAATGAAAGACAGCGACGTGAAAAGGAAGCACTCAGTAAATTGAAAACGATTACTGGATTTTTCACACCTGTGACACCACAGCCTGATGTACAAGCTGAGAGATCAGAGGACAACAACCTGCTGGAGCCGATCTGACTTCACGTGCAGAGCAGCCCATCAGTGGATTATCGTCTTTTCAGTCAGAAGCCGTTAGCTGTATGGAGGCGGCAACAGAAACAGCGACTGCACCAGATAGGCCTACAGCTACTACTGATTCTTACGCTGCCAATCCTGCTTGCTGGGGTAAAATTGATGAGAATGTGCGTGCTTACTGGGCGCAGAAAGGTCCGGAGTCCTGTCAAAATAAGGAGGCTAATGTCAAAGCCTCTGAACGCCACTACAAACATCAGAAGAGACTGTTTTGCAAAATTCATTTCAAACGCAAGCATCTGAATTGTGAGTCTCTGCCCAGAGAATGGTTGCTGTACTCGCCTTCCACAGGCTGTGTGTTTTGTTTTGCTTGCAGTCTTTTTTGTGAGGGTGAATCCCCTTTTGAGTCTGGTTATAATGACTGGAAACATGCTACCAGACGCTTTGCCGAGCATGAGAATAGTGACCGTCATAGGAAGACAATGTTTAATTACATCAACAGAGCAGCAGCTGATGGCGTTATAGACTCCCAACTTAAAAAGCAGCTTGAGTCGCACTGCAATTATTGGAGTGAAGTTTTGCGAAGAGTGGCTGCGGTTGTAAAATTTCTGTCAGAACGGGGATTGGCTTTCCGAGGCTCAAGTGAAATATTTGGTAGAGCTGACAATGGGAATTACATGGGCAGCCTGAAGCTGATCAGTGAATTTGACCCATTCTTGAAATCACACATACAAATGTATGGAAATGCTGGGGTAGGAACCCCCTCATATCTCTCGTCGAAAATGTGTGAAGAATTGATCAAGATAATGGGCGACAGATTGCTTTCTGAAATTATTGCCGAAGTGAAAGTGGCCAAGTACTTTTCGATTAGCTTTAATTCAACTCCCGACATCACAAACATCGATCAGCTTACATTCATCATAAGGTATGTTTCACCTGAGGGCCTCGTTGAAGAGAGATTCCTAAAATTCCTCCCTGTAGCAAGCCACACAGGGAAGGCACTGTGTGATGCCGTACTCACAGTTTTACATGAAATGGACATAAA